CCATGACCCTCTTCTATTTAGGTTCGTGACAGCCCACCCCTGATATTTAAGGGAACATAGTTGGTAGGCGGGGGGGGCGGCTAGTAGTAGTAGTAGTAGTAGTAGTAGTAGTAGTAGTAGTAGTGCAACGGTGCGTGTCCATTTCCGACTGCTGAAAACACATGCAACTTCTCAGCACTCACTCAAGGCGCAAGCCTGCCGGCCTTTCTCCAAGCCCAGGCCGAACAGCTTTAGCTGCTCAGATGGCACGTCGATCATGGAGTAGATCTGCATGCGCAACATCTCCCAGCCTTCACCTGAAGTCTCAGATTACCTGCAGGGGAACAAATCAACAAACCTAGGGCCCAAGAAGTTCCAAGGTGCTGGGTTCGCATTCGATTTCGTACTCAGTCCCCTGGTGCCGCAACAGCAGCTGCGTAGTCTCTGTGGGCTCAGGCAGTGCAGCCGCAGCCAAGTCAATACAGCGGGGCAGCGTTTGCAGAAAGCTGGGATCCATGACCTTCCCACGCGCATTGGCATCCAGGAGTTGCCCCTGCGAATTCAAAAGGACCACAGCGGGAATGCCACGGATGCCGTAGGTCTGGGAAAGCTGTTGCTGTCGCAGTCTGTCAGCAAAGGGCAGTGCATGCCAGGGCATCTTGGCAAAGTATTCCCTGAACGAATTCTCATCGCGGTCACTGGATACAAAAACAACATCAAATGCTCGCCTCTTCGATTTTGCGTGCTGATACACCTTACCAAACTGGGGCGTGAAGCCCTTGCATGGAGGGCACCACCCGGCAGAAAAGTATAGGGCCACAACCCCTCCCTGCAATGAGGAAGTTGCCACTTGCCCATGCCCTGTCAACAATGTTGTGCCAAGCAGAGCCTCCATGACACCGCACGCGGACGGAAGACCAAACGATTGTACACATGCTGAGTGCTCTCGTGTTATATGATGTTGGCATGGTGCAGGTCGGTGCTATAACTGGGTCCTTCTTCATTCTTGTGTGGCAACTATCCAGCTTGAGAGAGCAGTGAGAAAACCAGGGCCAGGAAAGCTCAAAGCAGTTGCATCGCTGCAGATCAGATTTGGCATATTTAGCAAACTAACTCAACTTCCAAAGCTAGGAAGGCAAAGCAAGTGTGGCAAGGCACGCCAGGTTTTGTCGAAGCTATCAGTCCAAGTAACCGATGCCGACTAGACGCCGGAGCTGCTCGTACAGCCAGAAGGAAAAGACACACCTAAGTGATGGCGTCACCACTTGTTTGACGTGGAACAGTGCGCTCACAGGCCGGTCTCTCTTCGCTGCAAGGCCCTGGCACTGGAGCCAGGCGCACGAAGGCAGGTGTCCACCCGCGAAAAAAAGCTTGGGGCCCTGACCTTGGAAAGTAATATGGCTTTGGTTTCCAGGACCAATGCTGCTGAAAGAGCTGCTCTGCATGTTCTCTTTTTGATCATTGTTGTGATCACCTTGTAAGAGCCATCACAGAATCATAACGGTAATCACTACAATCTCAATTACCAATACTGCTGCTGTCCCTCGTATGCCAGTTGCTAGCATAGCTTATTCCCAGAATCGAGCACTTCTTCCTGCGGAGAATACTTTGCTAGGACTATCACACTACTCATTGTTTGAGCCCGCGACTCCCGCAGCAATGCGCTTGCGCAGGCCAGCGGGCCGGACCGAATGTAGCTAAGGCGCTCACAGCCCAAGCTGTGTGCACTTTGGTACCTTATAGAGTCAAAGTTGCTGCAAAAATATGCTGATTCTGTTCTGGCAACGAACTGCGTCCTATGCCCCAATACCTGAGCCCACCACACAACGAGAACCACGTCAAAGGGCCTTGTTGCTGGCTTCCAATTGCAACGCACTCAAGCGCCTACTGACCTAGTGGGGCTAGTATGTCATGCATGTCTTCGCAAACATCGGAGTGCCCGGCATGTGGCACGTCGTGCAAATCACTGCAGCCTGTTAGAATGAATGGTTCCAGGGCTTGCAACAAGAAACTACCAGCATACAGTCGCTAAGTGTAGGACCACAAGGGATGCAGAAACATGCAGTAAAGGACCTTGGCACTCAATTTCACCGAGCTTGACCTAGATCCCGATGCATTTGCCGAGCAACGATGTTGGCACTGCAGCTGTGGCAACGCTGTCAAGAACAGTGTACTTTTCTGAACGCGTTGCTCCTCGGCTGCTCCTTGGCAGTCTATTGGACATACCAGGGTCCTCCTTAACGGAGCTGGGCCTCCCTTCGGGGGAGGAGCAAAAGTTATGACTAAGCTTAGTGCCCTGTACAGAACTTCAAAGACCAGCCTTGGAAGTTTCTGGACATGGAGGCGAGACATGCAATTGTACAACTCGGCACCCGCATCGTCCAATACACTTACAATAAATTGCTGCAATTTGGAGACGTTTCCTCCCGACCGTCTGGCCGTGTCTGCCCAATGGGCAGGCCTTCTGCTCTGTCCATTGGCTCAATTTGCTACCCTTGTAGCGACCCACTCTTCGAGGGGGCAAGCTGCTAGGATCTTCCAGGCGCACGATGCGCACGGGGCACAAGGATCAGGATCATGTCAAACGAAATGTCTTGGACAACAATATGACCTGGCCTCAAAGCAGCACAGTAACATCTGAGCCATACACATGCCGCATGCAGATGTTGGAATGCAGGCGAGCAGCTAGGCATCGCTGGAGAAGCTCTCCACACTCTCCTTGTCCCACTCTGATGAAGAAGAAGTGTCAGAACTGTCTGTCGTTATGGCACAGCAGCACACACCACCTCAGGCAAGAGAACAGAACACAACCTTAAGAGATCAAGAATCTTGAGAGCAATGACTAGGCACACTTGGACACTAATGCAGCAAGGATGGGCTTGTTAGCATTGTACCAGCTGGAACAACAGCACTGTCATGACGTAGTGGTGTTTGTGCAGTGTTTGCAGAAGCAGAAACCTTTCAAATGCTTGAAACAAGGCACCGCAGTTTATGGCGTGCATGGAATGCAGGCCACCCTCCAATGCCTGGAGGGAATTTGCCCGAAAGTTGACCACGCCCTGCCTTCATGGCTTTTAGCAGCGAAAGGAAATGAGCACTCTGTCTGGCAATCTCTCTTGGGCACGACCCCCAAACTTACACATTTGCAGGCAGCGCGCATCATGTGCTCAGTAACGCTAGGATCTTTGTGTACAATCTGCATCCGCACCTCATTTGCAAAGGGCCTAAGAGTCAGATCAGAGCTGCTTGCAACAGGAGCCAAGGGGCTCCCCAAGCCAGCAGGAATGACCAAATGTAGCCTTGGATCACAGAACCCTAAACCCTATATAACCCCATTATTATTGTACCATATTATACCCCTATATTCTACCCCGTGCTCCTCAAACGCAACCGGCAATGGCAAAGGTCTTTGTCGACCAAACAGTCAATGAAGTCATCACTGGGAGGCATGCAAGCAGAGGCGGACCGCAGTTCAAAGTTGCAGTCTGCATGACTGAGGCATACCTGAGTTTTATGGTGGAGTGCAGTGCAGCGAACATCCAAATCCAAATCCATATAAATGGAAAAAATCCTGCAATGCAGTGAAGCTCGGGACCCGGCGGAAAATCAAAATCCAGTGTTTGGAAGCTCCTGCATCTGAAGTCAGATCAGGGATCTGACGCTGGGTTCCTACATTAGCTTAGAACCGGTCTACAAGTTTAAGGTAACCCAAAGATATAGAACCTGACCTGCTGAAGGAACCTCAACTTTGGAAGCCAAGTTTCCGTAGAAATCATGTTCTTTCATAGTGAGGTACCCTAGAGAATGGCCACTTTTGGTAAAGCAGCCAAAAGGCAACTCCAAAACATATTCAAGCAGTATCTTTCAGCCCAAGAAATGGCGAACGGCGGAAACATCAACCTTATAAAAGCGCCACTTCGGAAACCCATACAATTACCCCAACTCAAGGAATCCTTGCGTGCTCCTCACCCTTACCCAAATGATGCATCGGCTCTTGCTGAAATGCCCCATCTCAATGTTACTGCTGCAACAGACCCCAGCAGCAGCTCCAGGAGGCTCTTCGGAAGTAGATGGCATAGGCAACCTTGAGCGAAGATGAAGGATAAAGCTATCAGTAGACTTCAGATGAATTATTGGACATAAGGGACAGAACGGGAATCGAATGAGGAGCTGAACAAATTGCTCCGTGTTGCAGACAGCAGCTGGCAGAAGAACTGCTCATGGAAGCGACTCTAAACAGTCAAATGAGCCACCCTGGATGCGGGCTTCGAGATGGAATGCACTGTACGGGCCAAGAGACCTGCAACCCCAACCCAAATCTCCCCTGTGCCCTTCCAGTTGCTGTTGGGCTGCATAGAACCCAAACCATGTCAGCGAACCAACCATGAGAAGGAATGCAGGTCGCCAGTTTTTGCGGAATTTCCGAATCCTGAAGCACTCACGGCAAAATTGAGTTCTAGTGCCCAGAAACCGATCCATGCCAGCAGTCGGAACTGCAGAACAGCAAGTACGAGCAATTAAAGGCAACACGCTGAAGAAATGCGGCATCTCCTCGTAAGCGGCAGAAACAAGCTTGATACACCAAACCTCAGAATGGGTTGCTTTCCCATGGAGCACGTCTAGATTGTCCAACAGCTCGGCCGATCTTATGTCCAAATTGGAATGAAGGCAAAGGTTGTGGCATTGGCTGCAGCCTCTGCCGATACTCAGATCACAAACTCCAAACGCGCCACGGGGCATGACGAAAATGAATCCCATCGCTGCAACAACCTCAGAAAAGCAGCATGGCCGTCTGCGAAAAAGCACCTTCTTCTAGAATTAACCGGAAGCCATTCCTCTGCAACCCTGGCACATCCATTTTGTGGTCGTCAAACTCAGGAGCCACAATGTCAGCCTAACTCCAGTCTGTTCTCCACGAACATACCTCCTAGATTCTCTTAGGATCTGTCCTAGCAGGCGAAATGAAGTAAAACCGCAAAGCTTGCAGCTTTGACAAGCGTCCATCACAACCATTGCTATGCCCACCACGAATGGCACCAGCCCGAGAAGAAGAAGGTGTTTGCGCTCAATGCAACCCGTTCGCCGCAGAACAGACCACATGAGCAGCATGTACAGGAAAAAAGCGAGAATGTAGCCTCAAACACACACGATGACCGCTGACCACATCCTCAAGCCATACCAACCTTCTTCAGTTGAGTAGCCCAAGGCAAAGTATCTCTTTTTGAGACCCAGTGAGAGAGAGAGTACTGTGACGCTTCCCTGCAGAGCGGTTCCCAGGAGCATTATACGCAGCATGACCAGGAGCCACTCCTGAGGTGTCACAACCCAACTGCATCTGCCACCTTCTGCTACCTGGTTTGTGCAACCCTAAAACGCAGACGCAAGTGGCCCGCTTGGCACGCGTGGTGGTCCAGGTAATGGAAGCATCCACACGTCGGTAGCCTTCCTCGGCAGCCTTCTGCTTGGGGTCCAGCGAGCGCTCAAAAAGGTGTGACTTTGACCTCACAACGCATTGGAGCCTCTGAACGTTTTGTATGCCCCTGTCCCATTTCAAGATGGGTGCCTGCTGACCCTGGCTCCAAAGGACTCAATCTCCTTGCGTATCCGGGCCTCGACAGGCTTTCTAAAGCGCAGACACTTCAGCCATCTTCAACCTGCCTACCATGCTTCAGAGACTCCCAAGCTCTGAGGTGACCCGAGCCTCGTCATCCGCATTAGAGCAGCCAGCATTCCGGGCATGAACTTTGCCAGCCGGGGCTAGCGTGTGGGCCAGCGACACATAGACCTTCAGCTGAGAGGCCATGAAGATCTCCTTGGCTGCAGTAGAGAAATTTCAAAAAAAGTGATCTTATAGATTTTACACGGGCTTTTCAAAGGTCATCATGATCTTTCAGACACCACCAGTGAGTTACGGGGGCTTTGGCTTAAATACCTGACACATAACACAAACGCACAGCGGTGGAGCTCGACCCCCAAGCCTACCAGTGTTGACGGCTGACGTACAAAATCTCGGAAGCTCTGTTGAAAACTCGGAACACTGACGGAAAGACAGGTCAGTCTCCACATCCCCAAGCCAGGGGAATTGCATCATAAAGGATGGGCGCTTCAGGTTCAATGTTGAAATGGTGTCGGCCAAGAAGCATAGACACACCACAGCCGTTGGTACAAGTTGTCCTGGTAGTTTGGCACTGCCACCATGCCTCCGCTTCAACTTTGACTCGGCAACTGTACCAAATCTGGGCATCCTTCCTGTCCAAGGCACGGCCACTGTACACCCAAGGAGACACAAAGCGGAGGACCAGTTCCAACATGATGGCCATGAAAACCATGCCCCAAACAGCTGGAAAGGTAAGCGAACAGTAGCCATCCAAGTTGGCGGCTTCCTTGGAGGGTGGGTCAAGTTTGGAGCTGAGGAGAAGCGAAGAATCTGCATTCAGCTGTGTCCGAAGCAAGGCACCCAGCGGCTCGCAAGGCATGTGCCTCTCCCCTCTCGCCAATTGCTGCAGTACTTGTCTTCTGACACGTTCTTGGTTGAATGCAGAGTTAGGATGCATGTGTGCACTTCCTTGCCCGGTGCACCGCAGGAAGGACCCGAGCATTCAAGCGAAGACCCCATGGTACAACCTGCATGCCACACGCAAACTACCGCAGCCAGGAGACCAGAACGTAAAGTTTCTCCAGGCCAGCTACTCCCCCACAAAAAAGCTGAGATATCATGAAAAGCTCCAGTGCCAGCAGCAGAAGCAGACCTGTCAACAAACGCTTCGCATCAGTCCACAACTGCAAAGTCAAGGTTGAGCTAAACAGGATGCCTGGAAGCATGAAAAATGTGCGGCGTGGCCACCACCAGAAGCCTGCGCAGGTTCCACGCTCCTGCACACAGACTCCGCTGAATGCCCCCGACTATCAGACGAGCAAGAGCTCGTTGTATGCTTTGAGATGCTCGTGCTAATCCTTGATGTGCGTGAGGACGCGTCCAAAGGGGCTGTGCTGCGTGGAGGAACCGATCTGCTGAGCGATGCTAGGTCCTGCGTGATCCTGCAAAGAACTTTCGAAGACAGCTTTACAAGACTGCAGCCACTTTTGCACTCAAGCTCCTCATTTTGGTAGATGGAGAACGCACAAACAAAAAGCACTTCGTCTGCACGGACTGTCCGCTCAAGTGTATCCACAAACTCCTGCACTTCAGCATTCAAGGTCTGCAGTGCTGGGCTCACCCCTCTTCACAGTGTGCCGCGCCTCTGCATTCTCGTTCCAGGAATGTGAAATGAGCACGTCCACTTCCAGGGGCGCATGCCGGTTGATTTTCACAGCATATCCTTGGCTGTTTGGACTGAATGCCAAACATCAACATCCGCCTTTTAAGCTCGAATAAGATGCTCAGGAATGCTCCAAAGCGGCCAACTCCTTCACCCGCAGTTCGGGGAAGTATATGGTAGTTAACCATGTCGCGCACTGAATGATTTTGGTGCCAGTGCACATCCTCCTGACAAGCTTTGGGGACTCGAATGTTGATATACTCTGCAACTGTCTTTCCAGTGGACAGTAAAACCACGCTGCTCGCCATCTTACATCTGTGTTGGCACCCTGACCCACCTTGCAGGAGTTGAGGAGCTCACGTATCTGATGCATGCGCATGCCCCAATATTCAGGCCACACTTCCTCCCATTCGCCCTTCCTTAGCCACTAAATGTAAATGCTGCAAACAGATGAGCTGCAGGATCACCAGGAACCGCCACCTCACCGCCGAGCTTCCGGAGGATGCGTTGAGGCATCGGGCGTTGCGCTTGCTGCGGGTAAACCTGCTCAGGATCCGGCTGCTCGTCCTGGGGATCTTTTGCTGACACCACCTCCCCACTTTCTGTGTACTCCTGCCTGCTCCTCGGCATCCTGATGCCACTCTGCACTCGAAGAGAGCATTACCATAGCGCTGGCTGGCAAAACAATCTGTTCTTGTGTTGATTGGCAATCAAATGAACATTCTCAATGTGCCCCTGCCCGCATGGGCTGGGAGGCATCAACTGTCTTCCTAGCTGTGTGAGGTTAGAGGCAAGTCTAGCTACTAGAATCGGCCATTATGGGCAAGAAGCGGATTCCACGCAAGTTGCTCACAACCGAAAAAGTGGCAAGAACGAAAGTGCACGCGGCAGCAGGCAGAGGATCCTGCCATCTCGCATCAAATTATAGGCCTTCATCATTGTTTTGAACGCATCATACCTGCAACAACGGGAATCTGCTTGCAATGCCGGTCCATCCCGAGCTGGAAGCACGATCTTTCTCCTTGCGTGAGCCTTTTCTGCAACAGACTGCCTCTCTGCACTCAGCAAATGCAAAGCTGCTAAAACTGAAGCAGAAAACGGTTGGCCATCTCATACACATAGAATATTAGCGCATGAGACGGGACCTCAGGAGTGCAAAGAGCAGTATCGGGCTTCCGGCCATCGCTACGGCTTTGCTGGGCCAGCTGCAGCGCGGAAGCAAGTGACACCGCAGCCCCGGTAAAGTCCGGCAACTCCCTCTTCCCTGACTCGATGTGGGGCTACAGTCTGCGAGGTGACTGACTGCTTCATGCATGTACCCACGCCTCAGCACAGTTCGAAAGACTGTCAGAAAGGATTGCCCATGAAAGCGCGGGTCAGTCTGAATTTTCGACTTGACCTCGCAACAGAAGGATCACTACAACGAGCCTTCACTGTCAAGGTTTCTTCCCCGAGGCAACAGCCGTGTCTGCCGGGTAGGGAACTGCCCAGTATGCTATGCCTGCAAATCATATCTTACCGCCAGTCAGTGACAACAAGGAGACATCCTTCTGCAGCCAGGCCGCCAGCACAAGAGCCGGACAAGGCAGACCATAGCAGCGGCACATCTTTCTTCTTGTTATACCGCCGGACTGTCTGCACAATTCTCATGACCTGAGCCACCCAAGAAGCGAAATCGTTGCATTGCCAGGCTAATCTGGTCACATACAAGTACGCGACAGTCTGCTCTGGGCTTCAGGCACCTTCGTACACACCAAACCAGGCCTTAGCCCAAACCCCTGTCCGGTCGCCAGATCCGAACTCCGCAAAGAGCTGCAAATGCAGCTCGAGGCAGGCGCCATGTTGCCCGGCACTTCTCGCATCAGCCTGTCTCCGAGTCAAGTGGTGCAAGGCTCTGGCTGGGTAGAATCCAAATAATCCAAGCCACGTGCTCAGATTGCCTCGCCACAAACCTGTAAGTCCGTCTTCCCGCACAGTGCGGACAATGCAGTCAACAGGTCCCCTGGCCATCAAGTGGCAGTTGCTTGAAACGCGCTGGTAGGCAGTTGATACTGACTGCTCATGCCTGTACAGCTTCTCTGCAGAGGGGCTGTTCAGCTGGGCCTTCACACGGCTCAGTCCCTTCCACCCCTTCGAGCAGCATACCTTACATTGAACAAGTTGCGAATGCCTGCAGCCTGCACTTCACCAGCTCCACAGGCGTCAGGACGCAAGTGGAGGCACAGCCGCTGCCGCCACCTACTCGTTTAGTACGGCATGCGTTCAAGTCTCCGCTACCGCTACTCTCTGCTCAACTTACGCCGGCGCTTGCCTGCGAGGACCAACTTCCAAAACGGAATAGGATTGGACAGACTGGCCGCCTCCTTAGCTGTGCAAGCCGGGACCCTACCAGTCAACCGGATATGATCATTAATTCTAGCCCAGGCAACATTGAGAGATCCACCCTTTAATGTCTGTCCCAGTGACTTCGTCCACGGCTAGCACCTGGCATCTCTCCAGAAAAGTGACTCAAGAAGAGTGGCATCGAAGGCCTTCTTGATGTACCCGTACGAAACGAAGAGGCTTGCATTCTCCGCCATGGACCTGTCATCTGTGGAACCCTGAACCACCGTCTCCCTGGGCATCACTGAGGTGCGTACCCCAGCAGAGGAGCACCGAGGCCCTGGTAGAGAGACAGGAATCCGGAGGTGGCCACCTTTCGCTCCCGTCAGCACAAAACCGGCATTCTAACAAAGCACCATGCAGTCACTCAGGCGCTGGCAGTCTTCCGAAAGCAGTCTACTGGCCCTGTGAAACGACCACCACCGGTCTGCTCTAAGACCTGAAGGAGGCTGCAAAGTTGGATGCATGTAGCTGCAGTGCAAAAAGAGAAAATGTGGAGGCCTTGATGGTGTCGGCCGGGTATTCCACAATCTTGCACCTGACACTTGCAGACTTAGCCCAAATTCTCGCTGCATGTTGCGGCCAAAGCACACGAAGCCGGACAACATGCCGCACAGAAGATCACGCAGGCCATCCTACCAGAACATGCCATATTTTAAGAGAAGACTTGGTTGATCTTGCTGGTATGATTGAATCAGGCGTCTCGTCCTTGCTGGCATTTCCAGACAGCCACTTTGTCTGCCCATCACTACCAGGCTGCGCAGTCATCCAAAAGAGTGGTTGTGAAGGTGTTGGGCATTCCGGAGCCTCGCTGCCTCACTGCTCTCTTCTGCTTTCTCAGAGTCCCCAAGGACGTAAGCGCGCGGATCACTGCAAGTGATGAAGGTTGTAGAGACTTCATCCGTCGAACGATTCTCTGCCTTACCTCAGCCTCAAGAGATTTAACATGCCGATGTGCCTCTTGAGCAGGTGGGGAAGCTGCGGCAGGAAATCAAAGATACACCAACTGGCATGCAACTGCAACGCAACTGCAACACAGCTGCTGCAACTCCCTGGCGGCGAACGCCATGAGCTGTGAGCCCGAAAGCGCAGCGCCACGTGCAACGATCTCAGGCAGGCCAGGCATAGGTCAGGCTTGCCTAGGCTTCCTTAGGCTTGGATGAGGCTCGCACCACGCCGGCTCCTCTCCACAAGGATCGCAATCTCTCATGAGGGCCTGAGTATTCCTATAAGCACTGTTTCCCGGATCTGGCGCTGATGTAGACCAAGTGACAGTTTGCGGATGCCAAAGTGTTCAGAGCCTTTCGAGGTGTGAAATGACCGCAAAGCTTTTCGGTTAACTACACCCCAGCACGTCTCTGACCTGAAGCGTGCTTTGATATGTTGGCGGCAGCCCACGTCGCAAGCCGGTAATGTACAGCCCATCCTAAATTCACACCATGGAAGCGTGCAAAGCCATGCCGCTTGCAGCTCAGGAGGTAGCGGGGCCGATCTGTCCAGCTTCGGCTTGCATCTGCGTTTTCACCTGGTGTTCTCTGCATCATGCATGACTCAAGCCCTAAGACTCAGCTCCATGATGCCATGCCTGCAGCAGCGGTGAGGTCACCAAATAGCCAGCCCTGATCTAACTGTCAAACACCAAGCTCTGCCTGCAAGCAACCTGCATAAGCATCCAGCATGCCGGAAAAAAGCCCGGCTGTGAACATCGCCACAGGACCAGCCTTAGCACAGCTTCCGCTCCAGCTGTGTTAGGTGACAGCATGTCCCGGGAAGCCATGTGGATTTTGGATGCCCACCTTGCTGGCAGTCGGAGGGGCGCCAACAGCTACGTTTTCCAGGCGGCCTCGGTTTGTGGCCAGGCTTTCGCTATCAGAAGTAGGCAAGAATTGCAAAGCATCGGCACGCAACGAATTCAGTGGCAACGGCACACCGTTGGGATCCATGCAAGTACCCTACTACAACTCGACTTAGACGCTTGCTAGTAATTCTGTGCCTGCAAGTCACACAAACGTCATCTCAATTCCAGGATGCCAAGTGCTCTTTTACTGGTCCATTTCTGGATTGCAGATTTATCTCAGATTCTCAGGAATGGGCCTATGCCATCTCGGAAGATGGTGTAGAGCCCATTCCTTCAAGGATGTTCCACGGACAGAGATCTCATGTTCATCATTGTGCAGCTGCGGGCCTCATGCCAACACAGCAGCCCATGGAAGCGACATTTGCCGCAAGGCCAGGCCTTCTGAGTTCATGGTCGGCATAGCAGAAACGTCCCTTACAGCCTGCCCTGCCTCCATAGTCCCACCCATAAGCCTTCCTGGCAATAACAACAAGTTTTCAACAGAAACCTTGAAAAGCCACGCGTTGGCGCTTGATTTTCTCCATCCTGCATCAGGAGACTTCGTGCGAACCCCACGAAGGTCCTTGGATCACAGACAGATACAATCATGATTCAGTTTCAAGCCTTTAGCAGTGCACTGTACGAAGCTGGCCGCGCAGGCGCAGACTAATGTTTCATGCGATGCAACCCTAGAGTCGCACTGCTAGCACAAGCAACAAATGCTGGAGCAAGGCGCAACCCCTTGGCCGACCGGCTCGCCTGGTGATGCACAGCAAGCGGTTCATGCGTATGATTCATGCCAGCACGAGTAATTTTGCTGTATAGGTTATGCTTGACTCTGTCCAAACGCAGAACAAATTGTCGCGCCATGTAAGTCCAGTCCACCTGCCTAACCTGCCAAGAGCCCCAGGCTCAAAAGATTTAACTGAAGTGTCACTTACGAACCCTAAGCAGCACGAAGAGTTGAGCCACAGACCACTTGCCACCGAGATTTCAAGGTGTCCATGGGATGGCTGAATGAACTTGTTGTCATGCCTGACTGCAAGCTTGGCACATGCAGACATGGGACTGGTTATTTGCTTGCCTGTGAGCGTCCCGGCAGTAAGGTTCGCCAGCAGGTCCTGCGCGCTGCCCTTGTTGGGCCTGAAGCCGAGCCAAATCAAAACAAGTCAGTGGCAATGGCAATCACTTTACTCTACTACATACTACATATACATACTACATACTACATACTACATACTGCGTACTACATACTGCGTACTGCGTACTACATACTACATACTACATACTACATACTACATACTACATACTACATACTGCATACTACGTACTACATACTACATACTACATACTGCATACTGCATACTACATACTACATACTACATACAAAATACAGCATACTACATACTGCATATTACATACTACAAAAATTGCAAAAGTGAACGTGAACTTAGAAGACAAACGCTGCCACGAAGGAGGAAAGTGCATCCACTAAGATCCACACAGCATGCTTGCGATCCAGTGGCTCGACGACCTGGCACGCAGGCATGAGTAAAAGCCTGTTACTTCCATGTAACAATCCAGAAGCGGCGGTGCCTGTATGTACAACTCAAACCATGAGTCAGCCGGTCTGACTGCACGTAATCATGCATGGCAAACACCATGCATGATTCTCGAAGCGCACTCAAAGCATATAACGGGAGGCCAATTGATTGTCGCCCTCCAATCTCCAAACGTACCCAGCTGAAAAGTATGCGGCTGGAAACTTCGTAGCCCTTGATGTACCCAAGTCTACGTGCTTCCCGTTAGCACTGAACATCGCACCCTGCACAATATCTGATATATAAGGCACATGCAAATTGCAGTCTTTTGACTAAAGCGCTGCAGCAACCACACAGCGATCACCAACCCAAGAGGGACTGCAGCGCGCAAGCCCCAATTCAAACATCTTTTGCGCAACTACTGAATACACAGGACCTGATTCATCCTTTTCCAGAATTTGTTTTCAAGTTTGCCGTCACGAATCTTACAAGCTGGGGTGCCATCTGTTAGATATGCATCCGCGTAACAAGCTCCATGCCATGCGGGTCTCTTGGGGGCCTTTTGGGGTCCTGTGAGTGCTTTAAGGGGATGCTGCTTGTTTGTGGATCCCAAAGGAAGATTTGGGCATAAAACGCCATGAATTCCACAGGAAGCAATTTCATTCCATTACGGAAAAATACAAAATGCCTCAAGTTCTCCCCCACTGCATTGAACAGTCCAAGGACTTCAAGGACACACAGGAATGGTTGATATACAAACCCATTGGACCTGCCGTCACACAAGATACATTCCACCAAGACTCAGACAAAAACTGGGTTGGATTTATTCGAAAATTACAGACAAAAATTGAAGCGCTGATGTTTTTTTCCAACTAGGTCCGCTGCGTTTATGCGGACCTGAACACATAACCCATCAAGAATATTCTGAGCCACTTGCCAGGTTAACGTGATATTTTACGTGGGAACATGTTTCAAACACAAAATAATGGGGAATCTTTTTTTCCACTGCGCAAGGCTGGCTCTGTCTCAGCCCATCAGCACCGACTATAGCTTTACTATTATTCCCCACATTCACTGTAGGGTTCTTATTTTTTGTGCTGTCGTCCGCCTTGCCTGCGTGCTCTTCCGTCGCGCAAACATTTGGGACGCGACTATCTTCGCCTCAAAATTACGCTCTCGCTCGAGAAATCCTCAAAAAATCGTCGTTTTATGTTGACTTGCGATCTAAAACATGGGTCACTCCGCCTTCAAAGTAGTCTTGCTAGAGGGGTCTGTCTCCAAACCGGTCACGCTTGGATTGATGAAAATTGCGCTCCCGCGCGGGACATCCTCAAAATTCCATTTTTAGCTAATTCCAAATTTGCGCTCCCGTACGGGACAATTCGATTTTTTTGTGTTTGGATCATCTTTATATCTTCAAAAATCGCGCTCCCGTCCGGAGCATCCTCGGAATTTCGTTCATTTATCTTCATCCAAATCAATAAAAATTGCGTTCCCGTGCGGAGCATTCGGAAAATTTGGATAATTCATGAACGATCATGTTGAGGGTTTCTATATAAACTCTTTATCAAATCGGTCCCCTTTACTTCGTTGCAGGTCGCACGGAGGGGAGGCTTTCGATATAGGATCGATATAGGATTCGCGACGCCGATCATCTTTATATCTTCAAAAATCGCGCTCCCGTGCGGAGCATCCTCGAAATTTCGTAATCCAGATTGACGAAAAATGACGCTCTCGTGCGGAGCGTTCAGAAAATTTGCATCATCGTTGAACGATCATGTCGAGGGTTTCTATATCAATTCTATATCAAACAGCTCCTCTCGAGCTCTCTCCGTTTTTCTCCGTTTTGAAGAAAATCGCGCTCCCGTGTGGAGCATCCTCGAAATTATGAAGAAAATTGCGCTCCCACGCGGAGCATCGAGCGAAATCACGCTCCCGTGCAGAGCATCCTGAATTATGAAGAAAATCGCTCTCCCGGCGAAGCATCCTCAAAATTTCATTGTTCTTATAAATGGTAGGAGAGGCAAGGTGTGACCGTTAAGCCATGAACGTAGCGCTACCTTTTTCTCAGAGGGCTTGAGCGAACATGTCGCAGTATGCCATACACATGAATTGGGTAAAACATGCACAAACTCCCATGTACCTTGTTCGGGGTCCCCAAATCCGTACTATAATAGGGATCCAAAAAGGGACCATAATTTTGACAATCACCCATGTTACCCAAGTCACG